CTTTAAGTAAGGTGTATTGTTTTATAAAATGTTCAGCGAAATTCTCAAATGGCTTTTTCGATTGTACGTTTTCCTAAATTTGATTTGAAATATAACGTACTGTGCAGCCGAATGCCAGGATAGTTCAGTCCTGACATGATATCATCGTTTGAACGTGGCTGCCTTTTGCGTGAGCTAATTGTAGAGATAAATATCCCTATTTGGCTAAGTGTTTTTCGATTTTGTTTACTTGGTTGCTCATGAGAACGACTTCGTACTCTACAGCATGTGAGCACGTCTACCTTCTCAGCTTAGGCCATTATGTGAGCAAAGGACAGACAAAGGCCACACCGAAAAAAAGGATTGCTATCGAATAGGGCCCCAAAGCGTGCCGAGTGCAATAGGAGGCAGGATAAACATGAACCTCTACCATGGGGACAGGTTGCTATACTAACTCCCATTGATGAACCCAAACGACTGCCCTCTTTACTAACATTCAATTAGCATACAACACTATAACTACTCGTCCCCATTTTTTTTTGCTGCTGTTGCCTTCTCTCTGATTTGTGACGGTTGAATTACATATGTCCACTATAATTACGCTCCTTTTCATTGCTGCTTGTGATTTCTCAGTATGGAGTTATGTGAGACTCCAAACGCTCTTGTAATCGACAGCTCTTCTTCCTTTTCTGGTATCAACTCGATGATTCTTATCGAAACAGTGCACGAGAATAGAACTACAGGTCAATGTTGCTTCACTTTTACTCAACCAAACAGGTATGTGCTTATATACCCTCGTTTCTAATTACTTTGCTGTTCGACCGATGTTTTCTGCTCCACAGGAGCAAGGAAAAAAGTAAAAGCACATGGATGTGCCCTTCAGCGGGTCTCACATTCTGCAGAACACAAACGCGTTTACGCGAGAAATAAATATAGTAAAGTCTGGATTGACTACTAGAGTTTTAGGTCGGCTGTTGGCGAGCCGTCTGTGTCTGGGTTTCAATTTTGAACTGTGGGATTATTATTTGGTGAGGGACACGAATTCGGAAAATTATAACTCAGTTGAATCCTTTAATATTCATTCCTGGCGACATTTAATATGCAGTAAATTACGGTTAGTAATTTCAGCGTGGGAAAACAATTTGCCGTACCGGACTTTCATTGCTTATCTTTATGGCACAAAACGAAATGGATCCGTCTGTCAAAATATTGTAAAGTGACTTCAGTTTTCATTTCCCAAGAGTAATGCCTTGTCTCATACGTACACTCACTTCAATGTCTTGGGCAGAAAATCAGATTTTCTTCCTTATGTACACAGAAAATTAAAGAGTTAAGATCCGGAGGGCTTTTTGATATAGTAAATGTCTTGGATATCAACAAATGTTGGATTCGGCCCCATTCTGCCCCTATTTTTCCCACGTTTATTCATTTGAACTCGTCTATTTTCCAGTAAGCAGTATTTTGTGTCTCAAGGCACCCATCGAAATAAATTAACAGTCGCAAATATGTGCTTAATTCCCGAATCAAAGTATGGTCCTCACCTTTCATCCGATATACAGTCTACTGTTTTGATCGCCACAAGAATAGAGACCTCCCACGGGCATGAAAACTGTATTTACCCTCGACAAACAAACTACCCCGTGTGAAGTAATTTAATTATTAATTAATTTAATTATTAGGATACGGACATACTTTCTCAGGCATTTAGCACTCGCAAGGTTTTATTGAGGATCTCGCACTTCCACTGTCTGTACCCTCGAAAAGCGATTCACTCGCGTGCAGTAATTAAATTATTTAAGGCGCAATTGAGGGCGTTGCCTTCGGCCAAAGCAGCCTACGCAAATAAGCCCAATCAGCGGTGACAGAAAGCTCATAAATTACTGCTCACATTGGCGATAAAAATTTCATATATAATGGAATATCGGCCCCGCCCAAGGCAAAGCGAACTAGGGGGGTTTGTCTGGCCTGCAATGCACGTTAGAATCACTTTCTGATTGGCAGGGTCTCCTATGAGCTTATTTATGACCCACGAAATGTGTAGGGCGTCTGTAAACCGGAAGCCCTGACGTAGGGTTAACGAAGGATCTGGTTGCAGTGTTGTTGACCTCTTTCCGATACCAAGATCTCACACAAACAGCTACTATTAAATTAGTAATCAAATGAATTAAGTAGCAATATGTTTTAAGGTCAATGTCTGCGTAGATTTGGTATGCTCAGAGTATGGACCTGTTTATTTGTAAGAAAGTTATAAGGGCTTGCAATTGTAAGCCTAGAAAAATTGCAAGAAGACCTAACATATGAACAGGCACGATGACGTTTCGTCCCGTTCCATTTCATACAGTCCTCTGTTCACGAGCATTCAAAATCGGGCGACTTTTTGAAAGGATGCGAACATCCTGTGACACCACTCAAACTCAGCACCCTAAAGGATGCCGGTTAATAGGGCAATTAAAGGGAGTAGGGATAATAAATGGGCTTATTAGCACGCGATAAATCCGCACTCTCTCATCTTCTTGTTATGGACTGGCGAATAAAGTCAGACGATTGCGTTGGGCATTGCAAAATAGCAAAAATGTTGGCTGAGGAGCAGAGTATCATCCCGTGCGTCTTCCAATGTCTCACTTAATAAGGCATCTTAATAGTCAGCGTCAGTGAAAAACAAAAACCAAAGCAGCAGTTAAGGCAACCAATGAGGAGTCCGCGTTCGCGTAGTCTTACCTTTAAGATAGCGTAAGTTATAAACATTGTTGGCAGCCGTGAAATCCAAGCGGATTTATGAGGTGCTAAAATAAATAAAGGCGTTAATTCGGTTCATTTTGTGCTTCATGTTCAGTGTAAGGACATCACATTGATAAGAATGAAGAGAGGAGCAGTCATTTATAGTGAGACCTGAGCACATGAATGTAGACCTGATATACAACGGGGAACGAGTGACAGGATAACACCCCACTGCGGGGATAGCAGTGACCCGTGTTTAGGTTGTTTATACACAACTCAGCTCTGACAACAATAGCCTCCTTCTCCGGGGTTGGGTCAACCAACGTCACGCCGACCCCAATGAATACCAATATCTTCCAACCTTAAACAGGCAATACAACGAGCTCGTGAAACATCTGCTAAAGTGTTGCATTCGGATCGAGAAAGTTGCTAATTGGAGCCTCTTCTGTTGCACACGTATGACTGGCTAACGACAGCTAATAGGCCAGATATAGCTATGCCAGTCTCCCTCGTCATTGACTACTAGCCGCTTTATCTGTTGGCAGACCCCGGGAAGTAAGACCCTAGGAATTCCGGGACAGCCCAGTTTTGTTTAGTGGTCGGTGGAAGTTTATCAACAGAAAGCGAGATGTGTTCGTGTAGCGTGAAGTTTATTTCTCGTTTCCAGTACAACCCGGGCCGACGGGATAGGCGGGATATATGGCTGTTCTCTGAATTAGCGGCATTCGAACAAGTTAATATTAACACATGTGGAGCACGGAGGACTATAACCACCTAAAATCCCGGGACTAGCGGCACTTTCCCGCGAACCCTTCGAAGAAATTAGTATATTCTACAACCGGGCGGCCACTAGATGAATACGAGTGTCGACGTAAGCGGATATTACGACTGAGTGACCCTCTATCCGAACAAAGCCTTGAAGTTTTATGTAGCTTTTGTTTATACTTTGGGGGTCCACCAGAAGGTGGCGATACATTCAATCTACATCAGTGAATTCTCAGCATTTCATGTCGACAACCTGACTGTCGATGAAATAAAAATAGGTCAAATGATTGTTTAGTTGTTGGCTGTGGTTGCCGTTTGTGTTGTAGTAAGGATTTCTCGGAACAAGAGGAGGACGGAAAAATGACTGGCAGTTCAAGTGGACATTCACTGACCTTACCCAATTTACTGCAAGCAAAAACACTGATACGCCGATACCCATAAGAGCCACCCTGTTAAGTGTTTGAAGCACTTTCCTCTGGTTACTGGGACTTGTACGAACGCCGACGCCATTCATTGGTTGTTATTGTGGTCGGGTGGGACCCTCTAGCTTGAAACTTGTGCTTTTATCACTGAACTATGCGATTCAGCTTTTTTCAGCAAAAATGCACTGCTTATATAAAAAGAATGATTTGTTCGCACAGGAACAGAGCAAAAAGTGTGTGAGTGCTTATTTCCTGCCAAATTGGAACAGAGAGGGATTTCGACGCAGCTCTAAACTACTCTGACTATAATCCAGCGCAAGTTTCCGCCTCTTAACCAGCCTAGTATCCTTGGCATTGTTTAATCTCAGCAAAATTTCCCTAATACAGGAGCTTTTGATTCGCATTTTGTTTGAAGGTAGCGCAATCCTACTCACACTATGCGTTCCCTAGTCTCCCCTGCTGGGGAACACTTTTGAATTCTCCATGCGCTGACGTTGCCAGCACGTATGCGGCAGGACGATAACATACTCTGAAATGAGCTATCCCTTCTAGAAGAAAACAGAATTGTCGATAAGACTAACATTTATTCAGACTCGTCACGCACGGTTATAATATGCAAATATGCTTAAATTATTACCGGGGCTCGGCGATCTCCAGTTCATTGTAAGCATGAGTAAGCCAATCGGCTGTATTAAAAAGAGACCGTATAATATATAAACAAAAATTAACCAGGTGGTATGCTTTATATTTGGCTTAAATATAAACAGAAAAATAATAGCAGAGTGAAAACAATAAGCTGGTCTTAAATGCCTATGCATTTTTACGTTTTTAAGGAGCAGAAGGATAGGCCTTCTATGAGTCTTACATTCAAGGACCACACATTACGCTAATCAAAGAGTAAAAGTTAAAATTTATTTGTAAATGTCTTCTGCGAAATGTATTACTATCTGAAAACATCGGAAGTGATTAAAAAACATAAATAAATGTTTCATTTGTCTTCTACAAAATGTTTTAAAATCAAAAAACGCACCACAAATGCAAAAACATACATATTTCATAAATGGTATTTTAGGAAAAGCAGTTTGCCAAAGCAAATTTTTCCCAGTAATGCATTTTCAGACAAATTCAATAAAAAGCAAGAGCAGAGTTAAAAGTGGTTGGCAAACAATCAGTAAATATTAGGAGGAAAGAGAGTAGGGTGTAAGAGTGTTAAATGGAGATCAGAGACGTGAAAGACAAAGCAGTCGGGAAGAAGTCCGACAATTATTTCATGTCATCCCCTTATCCTTGTCTGGCATTTTGTTAGGAGGCGTGAGGGGGCAAGTTGTCGTCGTCTATAGACGGTGTGTATGGTCTAGACGAACATTTCACCGTTTCGCAGCTAGGTAGGAAGCGTGCGGATGGATATTTAGTTGGCCTTCGCACACGGGAGCCTTAGGACCGCTAAAAGCGCCTTCTGCTCTCGGTTTATTGACATGTATGGTGGCTGACTCTGCCGTCTAAGTACCCCCTGACGCACGAACATGGAATGCTTCAACGGCACATCGTATAGCTGGTGACTGCTGTCGACCAAGTGAGCTAAATTCGCGCCTGATGTTGACCTTTACCTCGCCTCTGCTGAGCGAAGCAAGATGGTCTTCTCACATGCGCTTGGATACCCGCCTATTTTTTCAACCAATATAGCCTGTAACACAGAACACACACTCAGTGGACGCCTATGCTCAGAAACCATCTTAATTTAGTTCATAGAACGCCGGTCGTCTATGAACATATTTGAAAGTAAGATGTCCGTAGACATCTAAATACATATCTTCTTATACAACGGCATCCAGATGCACCGAAACGACAATGCTCCAGCTAACCGCTCAAAAGAGATGGGAAATTACTACCATATACATTTGGAATCTTAAGTTTAACATAAAAGACAGCCTTTGCGCGTGTGACCATCAATGCATTCTTGTTCATGCCAACGACCCCAATTTCACTTCTATAGAACAAATGTTTGCAGCTATCGAAATAAATAGTCACAAAACAGAGAAGAATTTACTGTTGTAATACAGGAGGGAACGCTGTGTACGCTAATTTCACGCAACTTGACATGCGTTATCCATACTATAACTCAACATTACATAGGCTTTCTACTGTAACGATGGGTCATATGTGTTCCTTACATACGGATTTTATCACCTCTTATTTGTATATCCGAACTTGAATAACGAGCTTATCTGTACATTAACTACACACTGTTTTACAGGAGGAAATATGGGATTTAAATGTTAGGACTCAATCACCAGCGACTATTGCTAATGATAACGATTGCAGTCTTTGCATAGGTCATTGATTGTAAAATGTCGGTTGTATGTAGATTGCTTTCCCAAATATAATCTCATAAGAAAGATGATATATTTGCTGCAACGTTTGGAACTATATACTTTAATAAAAAGGCGCATCTGATATAAATATTTCCAATCCTTTTCAAGCGGGTTGCTGTAGCACAAAGTAGCCTATTACAAGGTGCATTATATTCCCTAATTAACTTTGAGCAGGGGCATACAGCTACACGAGAAGTACATTGTATACTTTGTTCATTATTGAGCCATCATAATTTATTCATTAAAATTTCAATTTTTTTCCTTTTTTTGCGCATTCTAGGCCTAAAACAGAAATATTGTATTTTAAAATAATAATTGATACACCAGAATAACCGATTTTGACTGAAAGGCAGATTTCGGACTACTGCTTAACGGTATAATACCCGACTAGTAGAATAAGGTATGATGGGAACAAACTTCACGCTATACCCTTTAGCTTATGAAAGAAACAAAGGAAGAGGCAGTGGTTTCGCTTTTATCGTACCGTCTTCTTCTCGTCGACTACGCGTGCTATCATTGAGGG